ACAGGTATCAAAAACTGTGTCCAGCCACCTTAAGTACGCTGATCAGGTTAGCATACGGTCTGTCTCCACCCCTTCCCCCCGGAAGAACACCTCTTGACACTTCAAAGTTCTCATCTTTTTGATGTTTTAAACCAGACGCTTTAAAAATGCAAACTCCGACTTCGATAATTGGCGACCAACTAAGAATTAATTGTCGGTAGAAATCATTTACGCATTGCTAGAAGCTGGTCAATAAATTAAGATAAATGGTGGTATTATTTGATTTGTTTTTTTATCATTATTTGCCAAAACATGAACCTTTAGGATGTGTCAGAAATTGTGAGCGCCTCGAGTTATTTAATAATCTCAGCACGGAGTTGATCAATAATCTCAGGCCGAAGTTACAAAACAATTGCAGTTGATATCATGCTCTTCGAGCTTCATCATCTCCCTTTTTTCTATCTCTTCTCAAACATTACCCTGTTTCCTCTCTTTATGGGGTCAAATCAAGTGGAACTCACTTTTTATAAAACCTCGGAACTGAAAGGAAAACTTTTTTCCTTCTGTTTGCATCACCGTTCTTTCTACAAAAACATTTCGAAGCATCTTTTAACTATTTTAAAGTATCTTCAGCACTTTCAATGTAAGAGTAGAATTGTCTTGTATAATTGATTAACATGAAAGGCGCCATAAATTGCTTATGCAAAATGGGAACAAATTTAGGGATGAGGAAAGAGTTATCTTCTGAATAGAAACAAGTTTATTCTGCCAACAATAAAGTTAGCTCGATGGATTTAAAAGTCGTTGATTTATCGTCTTGATTCATAAATAAACATAACTTGAGCACCAAAAAACAGTATGGTGCAAGAGTTAACAGCAACAAAACGAAAATAAATGAAATACTTTTAGTCTGCTCCTCAGTTCTGAAATCATCGGCGCTCTATATCTAAATCAAGAGGATATAAAGTTTGTATTTATCTTGATCTAAATTTATTGAAACAGCAGGTAGAAGCACCCGACAGTTATCTTAAATTGAATTAAACTTTAGCATTAATTAAACTCCTTTATATTTATATTATTAATGTGGGCTCAGCTACAACTAGAAATTCACTCTAATTTACTGCTCCGAATTAAATAATGGTTTTAAAATTTAACACTCAACCATTAGTTTGCGGCGCCTTATATCCTATGTAAGATGACTACCATTAGAATAAAACTTCTTTATTCTTAAAAGATAAATGCTTTTCCACCCGTTTTGTTGCTGTTAACTTTTGCACAATACTGTTTGTTGGTGCTCAGGTTATGTTTATATATGAATCAAGACGATAAATCAACGACTTTTAGATCCATTGAGATAACTTTATTGTTGGCAGAACAAACTTGTTTCTATTCAGAAGATAACTCTTTGCTCATCCCTGAATTTGTTCTCATTTTGCATAAGCAATTTATGGCGCCTTTCATGTGAATCAGTTATACAAGACAATTGTACTCTTACATCCATTAACATCCATTAAGAAAACTTTAATTTTTAACTTGAACAAAACCTTCTTTGTGTTGAGAGGATAAATGCTTACTGCTTTACTCTATTTTTCTCTAAATTCTGCATGAGAAATTTTTAAAAGTTTTGTATATTTTGTTAATGATAGCCCTAAAAGATCTTTTTGACTTAGAATAATATACCCTGCAGCCAACTTAAAATGTAATATATAGCGTATGTCATGAAAATTTTATGGTCGCAGAGTTTATTTCGCTGACTAACAAGATATTTTTTTTTTCTAGAAAACAGTATTTCCTAATTAAGAACTCTGAGGTTTGGCAAGGGACATAATTCTTACGATATCCGAGCAGAAGAAATTTAGTGTCGGAAGGAAACTGAGACGATAAATTTTCATCTTTATAGCGTGGTCAGTTCAACGGCTGAAAATATTGCATTGTGATTCTATTTAAGCGTGTACTTCTGTTTCGATAGTAAACATTTTTCTAAGCTCTGTTTTTTTCTTTTTTTTAAATTAAAAGTAACGTTAATGTTTTTTGTTTTCGCACGATATAAATCACCCCAGTGACTCGACGGTTTTAAGTGATGTTTATCTTATTGTACTGAAGGTGGCGAAATTTTACAACGAATTGTTCTGCGGCTGTTCGTTTTCTGCAAATTCTGAAACCTTGAGAATCGACAAGACTCTGCAAATTCTGAAAAAATAAAAACCTTTTCCAAAGTAGATAGAATGGAATCGTTATACTCAGAGGATAAAGGTTTCTCATCAAAATTTTGTAATCCCTATATTTCGCGTTAAATTAAGCCGTTATATATATATATATCTGTGAGATGTGCCCTTAACTAGTGGTTTAACAGAAGGAGGAACGAATATTCTGAAGAATAGATTGACTATCGTTAAACTGAACAAATGTTGCCATTCAATTTTGATGCGTTTGAACGCAGAATATCTCACGCAATATTTTTATAATCGCTGCTCGAAGTTCGGGAAGCCGCCAGCAGTATAAAATTGGATTAATGCAGGAG